CTTACACGCGTCATCATAGGCACGCGCCATCTAACGCTGATAAACAATTATAAACAGAGCTGCTTCAACAATCTGTGAGCTGGTGTATTTGGGGGTCTTTGGCCGCACCAGACAGACAATAACAAATTAATACCGGTATTGTATAAAACGCACTTGAAATGTACGCACACACATTGTTAAACGTCTAATTGCCTTGACATTGAATGTTTCCCTCTCTGAGAATGTGTGTCATTTGAGACTTGAGAGCAAATGACCTATGTCAAGTGGGTATAACAGATCAAATGTTCTTAAGGTCAGTTTTTCATGACTTAATTAAGGGAGATGGGGAGACGGGGAGGGTTGAAAAGCTAAGAAAACTGCTTGATTTGCATTTTTCAAATTTTCTTCACTAATTTTTTTTTTTTTTAATTTTCCTAATTTTTTCTCTCAGTCAAATCTACTGCTATGGCGAACTGCTGCACACCGTACAAATGGCCCATCTCTTTGCGGACTCCAAGACATTTGTCGATCGCAAACTCAAGAATACCCCAGCCGAGACCATAGCCAATTTCCAAACATTTATGGCAGCGAAAAATAACTCTCCAACCCAGGATGAAATACGGGAATTCGTTGAGAACAACTTTGATGATCTGGGCAAAGAATTTGTACCCTGGGAACCCACCGATTGGGTGGAACATCCTGCCTTTATTGACAACATCAACGATCCAGATCTAAAGCAATGGGGTGTTGATTTGAATGCCATTTGGAAGGATTTGGGTCGCAAAATGATCGATGATGTCCACACCAATCCCCATTTTTATTCCATAATTCCCGTCGACAATCCTGTCATTGTGCCGGGCGGACGTTTCATTGAATTCTATTACTGGGATTCCTATTGGATTATTCGTGGTCTGCTCTACTCGCAAATGACACACACGGCCCGTGGCATGTTGGAGAATTTCATGTCAATTGTTCGCCGTTTCGGATTCATTCCCAATGGCGGTCGTATTTACTATGCCCAGCGTTCCCAGCCGCCGCTACTGGCAGCCATGATCAAATCTTATGTGGAGTTCACAAAGGACACCCAATTCGCTGTACAATCGCTGGAGGTGTTGGAACATGAGTTTGAATATTGGATGAACAATCACACGGTCCAGGCCAAGGGTTACAATGTGTGTGCCTATGGCGGTATATCGCCTGGCCCCCGCCCCGAGTCCTATCGTGAAGATATTGAAACCTCCAAGGCTTTTGTGACCGATGCCGAAAAAGAGGAACACTATGCTGAGTTGAAAGCTGCTGCTGAATCTGGTATGGACTTTAGTTCACGTTGGTTCATCAATGACAAAGGTGAACAAACTGGAGATTTGACCCACCTGAAGACACGTTCCATTGTTCCGGTCGAACTGAATGCCATCCTGCATTGGAATGCCAAGATTATTGCCGAGTTCTATAGGTTGGCTGGCAACAACTCCAAGGCTGAGGAATATGAAAATAAAGCAGCGAAAATTTTGGAGGTGAGTTAAGGTTGGGGGAAAAAATTATATTTTAATTCAGCCTTCCCTAAGGGAAACCCAATTCAGCCAGGCTAAATTAGAGTTTTCCGAACGGAACGCCAATTTACCAAGCCTGAATTAAAGTTTTCCCAAAGGAAACCCAATTTGGCCAGGCTTAATTAGAGTTTTCCCAATGGAGGCCCAATTCAGTCAAGCTGAATTAGAGTTTTCCTAAAAAACCCCAATTGACCCAGGCTAAGTTAGAGTTTTCTCAACGGAAACCCAACCCAGTCAGGCTAAGTTAGAGTTTTCCCAATGGAAACCCAATCCAGTCAGGCTGAATAAGAGTTTTCCCAACGGAAACTGAACTGAGCCAATCTGAATTAGAGTTTTCCCAACGGAATCCCTATTGAGCCAAGCTGAATCGAAGTTTTCGCAACGGAAAATCAATACAGCCAGGGTGAATTCGAGTTTTCATGACGAAAACCCAATCCAGCCAGACTGAATAAGAGTTTTTCCAACGAAAACCGAATTGGGCCAATCTGAATTAGAGTTTTCCCAACGGAATCCCTATTGAGCCAGGCTAAATCGAAGTTTTCGCAACGAAAAATCAATACAGTCAGGCTGAGTTCGAGGTTTCCTAACGGAAACCCAATTCACCCTGTCAGAAATAGAGATTTTTTTCCAAGGGAACGCACTTTCTCCTTGTGATATATTTTTCAATTTCTTACCCCATTTTTGCAGGCAATTGAGGCTGTCCACTGGAATGAAGAAGCCGGCGTCTGGCTGGATTATGATCTAATCAACAATAAGTCCCGTAACTATTTTGTTCCCACCAATTTGGCACCGCTCTGGACCATGTCCTATAATCTCAATGATAGCGAGAAAATATCCAAATCAGTTTTGAAATACATCGAAAAATTGGAATTGGATAAATACCCGGGTGGTGTGCCAAATACCCTGTATCGTACCGGTGAACAGTGGGATTTCCCCAATGTTTGGCCACCCATGCAATATTTGTTGATCAAGGGTTTGGAGAATTTGGGTACCACGGAATCTAAAGAATTGTCCGTTAAATGGGGCCATCGTTGGGTAAAATCCAATTTCCAGGCCTACAGCGAGACCAGGGCCATGTTTGAAAAGGTAGGTTCGAGAGAGAGAGAAAGAAGTTGTTTGGAAAAGGAATGATAATTGAAATGTTTTCTTTTTTGCAGTATGATGCCGAACGTTTTGGTGGCCATGGTGGCGGCGGTGAATATGATGTCCAAAAAGGTTTTGGCTGGTCCAATGGCGTCATTATTGAGTTCCTTGATAAATATGGTCGCAACATTACATTGCCCGGCAATGGTGGCAATGATGGAGGTATTTCCAAATCTGCAACTGATATATATTAAATGTATATCTCCAACATCCAACATCAACAAAAAAAAAAAACAAAACAAACAAACCATGAAATCCACTCTCTGTTCAGTGTGCCTTTATTTATATTCATTAAAACCAAGAAAAACACACACACACACACATTCATTATCTCCATTACATCCCCATGATGTCGACAAAAAATCTACAAAAAAAAACAACAACAATAACAATTTATTTACATTAATTAATGTTGTAAAATGATTACTCGCCGTTGCAAATTGTCACACCGCAAAATTCTTTCCTGGTTCGCGCCAAAAAACCAGCGTTGACAAATGACTACACACATCATATGAAACCAACCAAGCTCTCTGTCATTATCTCATTTGTTGCTCACCATTTTGATTGTTCTCTTCTTACAAAAGGGAATTACATTTGCCCAATGCGCTACATAAACAAACAAACAAACCACCCACTCATCAACACTCTGTGAGTACTGGAAGCAGAGCTCATTCAAAGTGGCTCTCTTGCATATGGTAATTATCAAAGAGAGTCCGTTAGGAGATCTCATTGATGTCTATGGGGCACATTACTTTCACAGAAAAGAAAAAGGCAAAAACATTAAAATTTACCATCACAAAAAAGAAAAGAAAAAAATAAAACAACATACCCGCCGAGAAAACTTATTACAAAATACATTCACAAAAACATACACATATTGTTAAAGTGTCATACCCAGCAATATTCTCTACGAATATCCTTCATTCATCCCACACTAATCTATGTAAATTGTGGACCACCTGCTGTTGTGTGGAAGTTAAATACTTCATTATCTTCATCACTTTTTTGGTGTTTCTTAATGTTGGGGACAAAAAGGAAACCTATATTTTTGTATGTAAGTCCATTTGTTTTTTTATTTTATTTAACTTATCGCTTTCATTGATTACTTTTCTTTTCGTTTGTGAGAACTTTTTATTGCAATTGTTATTAACTTAAAAAAATGTTTGTTTTAAAAAAAAAAACTTTTACAGGAAAACTTAAAATGTGGAGCGTAATTGGCATAACGGCATTTGCAGTGATTGCTGTTGTTGTGGGAAGGCTATTAATCTGAGGTGAGTTGCCAACCAGAAAAAAAAATTAACCTAGAACAAATGATTTTTTTGGGGGGTACAAGATTTCTATGCAAAACTTTTTGGCAAAAAAAAGGAAAACTTAGTAATTGGATTATCTCTCTCTCCCTCTTTTTCCAGATTTTATTCTTTGAGAATTAAAAACAGATGTCGCTACCACCCCCACCCACCTTGCACTCAGGATGACCCATTAATCACAAAAGGATGAACGACCTTTTTCCCGTTTTTTATGTGTTGAAAATCTATTTTTGTTGCAATTTGTTAGTAATTTGTTTATATTGTTGATTTTTTTTCAATTTTTTTTTTAAAGAAATGGTTTTGAATGTTTATTTGCATGACAATTTATGAAATAATTTCGCCTAAAAGAGTGCAGTATTATTTAAGTTAATTTTTTTTTTTTTTGTTTCCTTGCTTCCGCTTTGACTACTTTTTTGTTCTTCATCTATTCTTCCTCTCGCTGTGTATATTTAAATGAATTTTAGATAAATTTTAGCATTTAATATTGCTACTAGTTTTTAGTTAGAATATTATTAATTGTTGTCGCCTAAGAAGTATAAACTGCACTTGTAAATTGAAAAATTAATTGCTTACAAATTAGATTAAAAAAAAAAAAAAAAAAACAAAAAAATAGATAAAAATGTTTATAAATAATAAAAAACAGAATTTGTTTAAAATAATAGAAACTATCAACAAATAATTGAATTGCTTTAATAAAAAATTTATTTTGAAAAAAAAATCAAACGCCATAATTTTTATTTTTTTTTTTGCTGTTGCAAAATGGTCAGGCTTAATCCCATTATTGTTGTTTTTATAAAAACAACGTTGGCTTATTAGTGGAGAACGATGGTAATATTTACCCGGGGTAAGGCAGGGAATACCTAGTATAATCAACTGTCACTGGAATAATTTTAACAGTGGCTTAGAAATGAAAGCAGTCGGAAGTTGGTTGCAGTTTTTTCATCTCAACCTGTATTTGAATACTTACGCCATTTTGTTGTGGCATCGTTGAAATTGACAAAAATAATTTCTGTTAAAATTAAACAGATCATATCCTTTTTTTATTTGAAGCTTAAACGACGAATAGTATAAACTTTCCTAAAATTATAACTAGAAACATATTGTTTTTCTTTTTTTTTTCAATTTCTTTTTAAATAAATTTGGCTTTAAATTGTAAAAAAAATGAATATCTCAGAATTTTTGTTTTTAGAAGAAAAAAAATATTTTAACTTTTACAAAGTTAAAAGTTTCTATGACATACATATGTTTAAAATACAGGAATTTACGAAAACAATCCCCAATTCTTTGCTTAAATTCATTAAAACTCCAACTAAAATCCCCCACATAAAATTAGAAAATGAGTTTGACGTGCTAACGTGCCAACACCACCTTACGTCCACTAGGTGTTATTGGAGGCCGCCTGTTGTGATTGCACCGCCGATTCTTGACTAAAATATGGAGCTATATGCGGTTTCAGCAATGTATGGCAAATGTCACACACACGGGCCGGTCGCTTACGTGGCCCGGATTGCACCGTTTTGGTTATACACTTATCACAGTAGATATGGCCACAATGACGACAATGGATTTTGCGAACGGTCACAGTAAAATAGCTTTTGCATGCCGGACAATTGGAGACATCATCATCGTCTTGCCAGCGTACCTCCGAGTCGGAATGTCGCAACTGTTCCAAGTTCATCTGACGAGAAGGGGAAGAAAAAATTAATTACATAAGTGATACAGATCACAAACACACACACACTTACCTGCAGCGTCTGGGACAATTGAACAAAATCTTTTTGTACTTCTTCACTGGTGGCCAGATCATCTTGGAGATTTTTGATTTTTGTCTTGGCATCGGCCAGAGATTTGGTTAATTTTTCCTAAAAAGATTTTAGAAGGGGATTTTAATTTTTTTTTCGACACCTTCTAGCCTTGTAATGGGGATATTTTTAAGCAGCATTTTCAAGAGCTTTAGACTTCCGTTTTGCATTTTAATTGGGGAATTTTAAAATAGTTTTCCAGGTAAAGTGAAGGACTTTTGTTGGAAAAATATTCTAGGTCTTTTATTGAAGATCAATGTTGATTTATAAATCATTTCTCTTAGCCAATGTAATACCAGGATTTTAAAAGATTTCTGGTCGCTTTAAGGCCCAGACAAATTGGATTTAAGAGAAATTTTCGTGACCTCCCTAAGACCAGCCAATTAGGGTTTTTGTAACAAATTTCTTTGGATTTTTTTTAGAGAATTTTTCTAGATTTGAAGGCCTTTTTAAAAATCATTTCAAGGAAACTTGCTGAGGCTTTTAAAAGGCAATTTATCTATGCTTCCCCATGGTCTTTTGAAGAAGTTTTTTGTGGCATTTTAGTCCTAGAATTTAGGGCGTAGTCCTAGAATTTAGTCCTATGCTTTTTAAGGTCTCAAAAATGAATTCTTATAGACATTTCTTAAGGCATTTTCTTCGGGCCATGTATAAAGGAATTCTTTGAAAAATTTACTGTTCCTAATTTCTCCAAAGCAAATCAATGAAAATTACAATTTTTTAAAGGCCTGTTAGATTTCTTTGAGACACCTAATGCATATTTCCCATTCTTGAAGTCTTACTCACATTCTGATCGTTTAATTCAATTATCTCCACTCTAAACGCTGAACGTTTTCAAGGTTTCTTAAAGTTAATCTGGGCATGGATGGACTTCTTCAAGACATTTTAAAGGATTTTCTTGAACTTGGAAAGTTCTTTTAAAGTAGGATTTTTCAAGCTACTTCAAAGCCTATTAAAGGGAATTAAATCAAGCTTCTAGAATTTATAAGGACATGGTCTATGCCTTTTAAGGTCTTCAAAAATTAATTCAGATAGACATTTCTGAAGGTATTTTCTAGACTCCTTCAAGATTTCTTAAAATAAATTCTTTGATCAAGTTATTGTTTCTAATTTCTCCAAAGCATATCAAGGGAAATTGCCCCAACTTTTAAAACGCCTGTTAGATTTCTTTGATGTAGCTCTTCCTTGACGTCTTACTCACATTCTGATCATTTAATTCAATTATCTCCACTCTAAACGCTGATATTTGACGATTTTGTTCGGCCTCCTTGCGCTCCAAGGCCACTTTGGCTGATTCACAATTTTGCAGGGTCATCATGTGTTGGGTAATGCGATCCCTGTGGAATCAATGAATGCCAATTAAAACATAAACTTTAATAGGAAACCAAAAACAACAAAACAACTTACTGTAATGAGCGTATCTCCGTTTGCACCTTCTTTTTGTATGCAGTCCTTTCACTGTTGCTCGCCTCCAATTGATCACGCAATATTTGTATTTCATCCAGGGACGTTACACAACGTTTCTTCTCATAATCACAACCCAAGCGAGCCTGTATCAAATCTTGTTGCTGCCTTAGAATTATTTCCTGTAACTCTTCAACGTTGTTTGGTAAATTAATGTATTGACTTTCAATCTCCTCGGCCGTGGCTAAATAACGACCAGAGAGGAAATCATTATCGGCCTGTAACAATTCCAAATGTTTATTGACTTTTTCCCGTTCTTCGTCGAGGCGCTGTAGCTGGCGGGAGACTTCGTCTTTGGTTTCCAAGAATTTCTGTTGTAATTCCAATAGCTGTTGTTCATTGGAGGTGACCTAAAAATGAAAGAAGATGATTGTTGGTTTTTGTTGTGCTACTTTTTTTTTGCTACACCCACCTGTTCCCTTAGCACATGCACCTCGTTTTTGTGGGCCTCTCGTTTCTCTTGCCATTGATTTTCAAGAACTGCCCTCAACTCAGCCTCTTTTTCCAACTCCTTTTGGATTTCTTCCAATTGTTTTTTAAGTTTTTCCAATTTCTCATTTTTAGCAGCCTCATTGGTTTTAAGAATTTCAATATCTTTTTCCAAAGCGTTGCAGTTTTCACATGTCACAGGAGATAGGGGTTTAGTTGTGTTCGCTGGGTCATCTTCGCCCAGAATGCTTGTGTTGGTGGTGTGTAGTTTTTCATCAGCCTCTCTTAGTTTTTCCTTTAATGCCTTCATTTCTTCTTGCAACTGAGTTACAATTGATCCAAGCACTTCGGAATCTTCTTGGCTCTGAAATTACGGAAAACAGATTATTATACCAACAATGATCACAATTTAATGCATATTACGGGCTTAGGACGGTATAAAATTGAAATCGGACAGAACTAGGATATGGAGGAATATCTTAATCTGAATCCACTAAATTTGATGGAGGCATTTGAATGATTTTTTCTGACCTCTCCTACCAACTATCACCGCTATATACTTACATATTTACCCTCGTTTTTGCTTTTGTTGGCATCATCTGTTGCCGTATCACCAGTCGAAGGATTGTGAGGATCACCACTTTTACCTATTCGTGCTATGGTCTTCTTCACTTGGTTCAGGACTTGGGGTGCCAAGCTACTAAGTTCCTGAGACGTTGACGTTGAGGCTGAATGCAAACTTTCTTGTAATTGCCGATTTTCCTGTAGAATATGTTGATTCTCCTGTTTCAGAAGTTCTAATTCTGATTTGCAGATGGCAGACTCCTCGACGGTTTCTATAATTAAATTAGCGCAACATTACAAAACACATTCGTAACGAAATTTGTTGCACATTACCTTGCACCAATTGTTGCAGTGAAGATATCTCCTCTTGGGCCTTAATTTCCATCACCGTCAACTTCGATTTCAGTGCATTCAGCTCTTGTTCCTTTTGCACAAACAACTCCTTCAGTTTGGCCCGTTGGGCATTGAAGTTATTTAACATCTTACGATTCTCCTCCTGCAGTTCCAATAGTTGCGTTCTCGGCACCATGTCTTTAATGAGGAAGTGAGGAAATTTTTTAAATTAGTTGTTGTTTATGAACTAAGATTTATTGACCTAGCCCACACACCCAAATTACCTGATGTACCGCTGTCAATTGGTTGTGTAATCGCCGCTTGCGATGATCCTTGGCCTTGCAGCTCACCGGTTGCAGTATTTTTATTTATTTTCGGTTCATTTTCTTCCATTTTATTGGATTTTATGCAAAAAAGAAACTATCTGAGCAGGAAAAATTGGAAAATATATTCTAATTAGCGCTGACAAATAATCGATGGATGGCCGATGTCAATATCGATTTGTAGTTTTTGCAATCGTATGTACCTTTTTTAAGGTGGGGTACACACTATTTGTTTGATAGCATTCGATTTGCAGTGATGCTCTTTGTAGCCACATTTTCATTAACTTGGAGTGCTGTGCCTCAATTATTTGAAACGGGCAAAAGCAGAGTCTCTAGATTCTTGCAGATTCTGTCACAGAGCAAATATTATGGAATATATCGAAATTTTCATAATATTTGCTCAATTTTTACGATTTTCTCTAAAATTAAACTATTGTGAGAAAAATCTCAAAGAACTTATTGCATTTTTTTCAACAATTGCTCTATTCCAGAACCTACAAGAATCTACAAGTAACGCAATTTTTTTTCCGATTTCAAAAAGGGAAAATCAATTATCATAGTAAAAAATTGTACATTCTTTCATTTCTGGAACAGACCAAATTTGAACTTTAGCTTCAGAGTAGTGTTTTTGAAATTTAATCAACTACATATACAGAGATGAGATGAAAAAACTGCAACCAGCCAAGCCACTCGTCCGACAGCTGTTAAAATTATTCCAGTGACAGCTCATTATATTGTTTGCATAAGCATTTTGGTGAGAATTTTTTAAAAAAAAATTATTCGTGATGGGATTCAAGCGTGATAGTGTGATTTCTTTATATTTGTCCGAAAAACCACAAGTGGCTATCGTTAGACCAATCCAGCATTTAAATGTGAATAAATCTTTTGTGTCTCGAACCATCGCTCGTTACCGTAATACTGGTAGTGTAGGCCGGATGTCAAGGAAGTGGACGGAAGAAAACAGCAACATCAGCAGAAATGTTTCGAAAAGTAGCGACGATTGAAACCCGCCTCGCATTGGCCGAAAAATGGCTAGTGAGCTGAACATATTGCAATATACCATCCGGCAAATATTGAAAAATGAATGGAGCTGGGGGTAAAGCCATTGAAATTCCAAAAAGAGCAAAAACTTACACCGCAACAGAAAGAAAATAGACCTAAAAGAGCTAAAGAGGTGCTTCGCTTATACAAAGTGGTGAACTGCCGAATTTGGGTTTCTCCGATGAGAAAACATTCGTTGTCCAGCAGTTTGTAAACAAAAAAATGATCGCGTTTACTTGCCAAAGAAGTCAGTTGAAAATATGCACCTTCTGTTGGCCAACAGAACTCAAGCGCCGGCCATGGTGATGGTGTGGGCCACCATAACAGCCGACGGTCGGTCTCCGCTCTTACTAATCGACCGTGGCATCAGAATAAATGCCTAACATTATCGCGAAAATATTCTTGAGGGTGTATTAAAGCCTTGAAGCCAGACCTTGGACATTCCAACAGGACTCAGCAATTAATTCGTGTTATAGGTGACCAATTTCGAACAAATCTCAACTCATTCTAAAATTTGATGCTATTTCCGACATTTTTTGCTTTCATTCAATAAAATTTAAAAACAAAAATGTAAAAAAATTGGTGTTTGACTTTGTTGCAGTTTTTTTATATTACCCTGTATTGTAATGATTGAAGCATGATAAAATGATACAGGTAGGCGCATCAGCACATCTGCTGGTACAATGAGCTGTCAATCCAATTTTGGAATTGAAATTTTTGATTGAAAAATTTCGGAACTTGTAAAAATTTTTGAAGAAAGCATATCATAACAATTCGATTGGCGACGTAATAGAGAAGCTTTTAAAATCCATTTATTTCTGGAGATATTTTTAAAATTGTTTGACATATCAATATTTGCGAGTGTCTATATTCTTCTACCATGGATTGTATCATAGTGTGTACACTCCGTATGAAAGAAATGTATTTCGTCGATAGTATCGTTTATATCGTCTTTAACGATCATCGAGATGTTGCCTGCTCTAATTCTCATTGAATTGTCAAACGACAGGTTGACAGGGTTACCAAGGTACGAACACAGGCCACATGTGTTTTGTTATTGTTGATTGAAAAACTTTAAAGAATCCTCATAAAAAATATTTAAAAAAACAAATTCAATTGCAAATAGCTTACAAAAATGGTAAATAAACAATCAAACAAGAAAAATGTAGATTATTTTTTACTAAAAACTATAAATTATTTTTACAGGGTAAGGGAAAGAAGGCATTCATTGATCGCAAAAATGCTGTGACGTTTCATTTGGTACATCGCAGTCAACATGATCCCCTGGTCACCGATTCCGAGGCTCCACAGCGAGTTCTCGTTGAGGCTGGTGCCCGTCAGCCGCAGAAACAGACTAGCAACGACCCAGCCGATGTGGAGAAACGCCGTGAGGAACAGAAAAAATATGGCATTCACTTTGACGATGACTACAACTATTTGCAGCATTTGAAAAAACCCGAAATGGATACCGTTTGGGAATACGTGGAGAATCCAAATCAGGCCAGAAAACGTGTTGAAGAAAACCGTCTTACAACTGCACCCAAATTGAATTTGCCCAGTTCAGTGTTTGCCACGGAATTTGAAGAAGATGAGGGTATGCTAAATAAAGCTGCACCCCAACCAGGACCCAGACCCGATTGGGATCCCGATGTTGTGGCGGCCTTGGATGATGATTTTGATTTCGAAGACGAGGAAAATCAGCTGGAAGATGATTTCGTTTTGAAGGCCATGGAGGGTGAGGGTGATGATGACGACGATGAAGACTACGATGATGATGATGATTATAAAGACGATGTGAGCGGCGAAGACTTTGATTCAGATGACTTACATGATTCCGAATTGGAAGATGAGGAGCTGATGGATCGCCTGGGTCCTTTAATGAGAAATAAACGTTTTGACAAAGACGATACCAAGTCCCAGTTTACAGAATATTCCATGTCTTCCAGTGTGATAAGGCGTAATGAACAGCTAACCCTGCTGGATGACCGCTTTGAGCGTTTCTATGCCACCTATGATGATCCAGAACTTGGTGACTTGGCCACCGAAGAAATCGAGGGCAGTTGGGGTCAAAAACATCCCTATGTCTTGGGTTGTTATAAACTTTTCAAAAAATCCAATGAAATTATGGAGTACAACAAAGAATGGGATAAGAAACGCATAGAGAAATATGCCACAGTTGTTGAGGGTGACCATGATCCCGATGAGGAATTGGTTGAGGTGGAAGTCGAAGATCCCAAGGAGAAGAAATGGGATTGTGAATCAATTTTATCTACCTATTCAAATATCTATAATCATCCAAAGTTAATTGATGAGCCCAAACGGAGAAGTCGCCAGAATTCCAGCACATCATCATCAACGGTTAATAAAATCGAAATTGATCCCAAGACAGGCATGCCCATGCATGTTTTACATGGTGATGGCAATCAATTGACTGCCAAGGCCTTGGCCAAATTGGATAACGAAGCGGATGGTAAGGCCACTGGTCCCAAGTCATTGTGTGCCAAATCTGTGTTATCCACACTTTCTGTTCTATCCATACGGCCCAAGGATGAGACGCCCGAGGAGAAGAAAGAACGTAAACGTCTGCTCAAGGAATATCGCCAGGAACGTAGAATCGAAAAGAAAGCCAACGCCGAGGCATTCAAGGAGGAAAAGAAACGCCAAATCCATGTTAAACAGAATCAACGTCTTAATCAACAAGGCAGCAAAATTTTATAGAATAATTATTGTAGATTTTTTTTATTAACTAATAGTAATAACAAAACACATGTACTTGCGTACTCCACACCCCACAAGATTGTATTGAATGTATACAATATAAAGATTTTTATTGATTTTTGGCTGGCTCCAGCCAGATCTTAACTACTAAACTAATAGTATTTGTTGTGTGTAAAAAATTATTTCAAAACACTGTTGTTATTCTCTCAATTTCCAATAGATCCTGCAGAATATCCTCTGTCTTGCAGCCAATTTTCTTGGCTACTTCATTCCGTTCGGCCACTGTCATATTGGCAAATGACCATATCAGATCGCCATCAATGATGCAACGACTTGGATTTATCGACAGCTTTTTGGCCATTTTTATTGTTCGGAATTCTTTGGGATTTAGACCGCATAAATGCTCCTGGTACGACAGCATAACGTTTTGCAACATCAAAAAGCGACGATAAACTTTCTCGGGTAGGGGTAAACAATAACCCATGCCACCATCCAAGGTGCCATAAACGACAAAATGTTTGTTCTCATAGGTAAAGGGTTGACGTTGCACAGGACCCCGCTGATGGCATTGTACCCTGAACATGGTATTGACGGTCTGGCCCAAGTGATAGTCTCCTTTGCGTAACAGCTTTTGGCCTCCAATTGACTCCCGCACCTCCGGCTGGTACATGTAAACAATGAAATTCTTTTCCGCATCGCTAACCAAAAATGCCAGATTTGTGTTGTCCACCATAAACTCAATGCCAAATACCTCAAGGGGGTAAAAGTCTCGCGAAGCCAGCGACAATGTCCTAAACTCTTCCTGGAACCGTAGAACACTCACAGACTTATAAACATCTGCTATCAGTATCAGGGATTTGATGGATATAATTTCGTGCACATAGATGTTGGTGTCAATAAAGGCCACACCAATCAAATCATCATCGGTCAGCTGCCATAGATAGATTTTCTGGCCAAAGGCCGTGACCAAGAAACCCAAAACATCGGAAATGGCCGACACCGGACCCTTTTGTTCTTTTTTGAATATTTCTTTTAACTTAAATTTCGTCAGAGGTTTGCCCGGTTCGGGTACCACTTCGATGATGTCATAGATGTGAATATTTCCTCTCGATGTTATGTCTTCACTGTAATTGAAATTCGTACCAATGCAAAGGTATTCCTTTAGACCGGACCGGGTACCCTCATAGGCCAATTTGACAATTTTAAAAGCCGTCACATGTTCCCAGTTTTCAAATTCAATCGAGGCATCCGGCACAATTTCCCACGTCTCTGGACTCATCAAGACCATGGTGAACTTTGACATGGTGGGGTATATGAAACGTTCACCCTTATTCTCCTCCGTCAGCTCCTTGTCTTCGCCATTAAAACGGAAATATTTATTTGTTTGCTCCTCTGTTTGGGTAATTAAACAATAGACCCGATTCTCTCGATGATAGACAATTTGTTTGGGGGTGCAACGCAGCGGTACCTTACGTGCCGGCCAGGGAGAATCATAGCTCAGGTAGGGAGGTAAAATACAAATCTTCAGGTCGTAGCTGGTATCAAAGCTCAGAAAACCCTGTGGACAGTTGACATTGTTAAAGGGGGCAAAACTCCTCAAATGACCATTGGTGTACTTGTGGGTCCGTAACTCCCCCTTGCCGGTGAGAAAAATAAAATAGGGATTTGGGCCACACACCACGACTCCGTTCAAACCGGAGATATTTGAAAAGTATCTCAACCGGTTGATATAGCGTTCTTGAAGATTATACGATTCCAGTTCCGAACTATCATCATCAATTTCCATGGTTTGATCGCCGCCGCTGTCATCCCTCATATTGAGGCTATTTAATTTTTTAAATCGCACCTTCATGTGACCCTTGGCATAGCGATAGGCCTGATAAATTAGTAACTCCAAACGGGTGCGTATCATCAACAGCGGTCTATTTCCCTGATAACCCAAACCAACCAAAGCCACTTCTAAGGGCAACGGGGAGTTGGTATGCTGGGGCATGCAATTCAGTAGAATACCTTGCTTATTATCCGGCTGGTTGAGATTTGCCGGCACAAACTCCATGGAATCCGTGAGTATAATATCGCCATTGCCAATATCATTGACGAGATACACCAACTTCATATCCGGCATGGAATATATCTCCAAGGTGCCACTTTCACGGCCCACCACCAACCAATAGGTGGATTTTACCGGCAACAGCAATCTACGCCACCAATCGGAATTCTTTTGCCTCGACTGTTTGGCCAGATCGGCCATGCTGTTCATTTTGAAGGCATTTCCGGATTCACCATAAAGCAAATCTTCTTCATCTTCAATTTTCATGTTTGGCTCGGCCTTCATGTAACCCAGGCCGGCATAAAGGGAGTTGCCACTGCCACCCGTCAAATTCAAAACATCATCGGATTTCGTGGTAAATAGTCCCGAAAGATCCTTGTAAGCCGACAAAGAAATGACCGCTGGAACACTGCTGATGGTGTTTTTATTAATGGCCAGGCGAGGTGTGCCCTTGGTTTCGCGCAAAGCTAACGTAATGACTTTGCCATGCAACACCCTTAGGCAGACATAGGGATCGGCAATGGACACCTGAACCACGGGAGCTCCCTCGTCTATGGGTACATTTTGTATCAAACGTTTCCCTTGCAACAGACGTACCGAACGGGTTGTAACCTGGACAATGAAACGATTTTGTCCCAAATTCCCCACAAAAATGGTGGGCTGATTGTAGCTAAAGCCCGTGTTTTCAATTTCATTGATCTCCTCACCCGTCTGCAGGACCAAAGTAGAGGTTTTTTGTGACAGAATCATAAAGTCATGATGGTCATGGTGGCTCATTTTTCGACTAACATCATCGAATACCGTCCAAACATCCAAGCAGCCATCCAATTCAAAGGAGGTAATCACCTGGGGATTAATGCAATTGGCAAAGACACAAAGGGCCCCATTTTTGCTATGGCCCACCGAGGCCACAATATCGATTTTCAAATCCGCCAACTGACTGGCCTGGGGCTTTAACGTGGTACCTCCTTCTTCGAACTCCACACGCTCTCCGGCACACATGAAATTAATGGGGCCCACATTCAGCAAGCTATCGCAAACCTCGAAAATATATTTTCTCAATTGTACAGAGGTCTTGGCCCCCGAACCATACACCTCAAGTTCTTCATCTTCAATGCGCCTGGCCTTGCGATTTTCATCTCCTGCTCCTCCTCCGCCGCCACCTCCCCCACTGCCATCTGTACCATCATATTCGTCCAGAGTAATAACCGTACTTTGATCTTCTTCGGTAAAATGCAGCAACAGGGAATTGCCCAAACGTGAACCCAAAAATAAATATTCACTTTGGCACACACACATGCAGCTGGTCAAGACACTTGCCGCAGCCTTGTGGAAATGGAAATTCCGAACAGTTCTCATCGAATCCACACACAATGTTACCACATACAAATCACCCGTTCGCAAAGACACCACCAGTTTGTCCACATCAATGAAGGCAATATTGGCAGCATCCAAACTAATGCGCACACCATCCTGAGGTTTTAAAGGAAAACTGGTACTATGATCCGCCGAACTGTTCAACGACACTCCATAGGGTGGGACACTTTGATTTAAATAAATTATGGCATTGACGGTGGTCACCAAACAACCTCCAATGGGCTTTTGTATCGGGAATACTTGTAAACAATCGAACGGCAATCCCGTCACGGTCCATATAATAGGGTGAACTCTCTGCTGGATATTCAGGGAAATGGCCACCAAAACACAGGTATCGGAGCGTACGGCCACCCTGCCCGTAAAGGTCCTTACCGGCTCATACAAAATCAGCAATGTCGGCTCATAGTAACCATGCAGAAATTGTAAATCCAAAACATTGTCAATTTTCTCATCCAAATCACGTAGAGCTATCAAATACGAAGCCAAAATCGGTGTCCGAGACATAATTGCTGTCGCTGCCTTTTTAATCGGTTTCACATCGGCCAATTCAATTTCATCGATGCCGTTTTCTTTGCGAAATGGTAGCACCACCAAACGTTTGCCGTACACCAACATCACGGCACAGCGAGCATCAGGATCAACTCGTACCATGGGTATGTAATATCTACCCGTCCAACCATCCTTAATGTCTTCCTCCTCAAAGTAATGCAACGAGAGAGTTTTCAAGGCATACGTATCTGGATCGTGTTGTACCACGGATAATTTGGCATCCTTAAAGCTAATCAACAGAGCATCTCGCATTGATCCTGTCAGAGTAACACTTTGCAACGACATGACATTACCATACAGGGTATAGGAGGCCAAACACTCCAAACGCATTTTGGGAGGATTTCGTAACTCATTGGGATTTATTTTCGAATGACGCTGTGATACATCTAAATTGGGTATAATTCGATATACCTTGAGGATGTTGGCACCGGCAACAACCACATTTTCATCGACATTGTTAAAGAACCGGCAAGTTATTGCAAATTCCACACCAGTGGCTGGGTGAGATTGTTTACACACGGAAAACATGTCTTTTCAGAGATTTTGCGATCAACTCTTTATTTAATTATTAATTTAATTCATTGTTTTTTAAACAAACAAAAATACGAGAAAATTGAGCGCTGCTTCTTCACAAGATAACAAAAGTGGCACTTCAAGTGAATGAGAGTCCCACTAGACGAGGTAAACAATGCTTCTTCATAGCTGACATTCAAATATAATGATACCATTTGTGATAAATAGTGGCATGTTCAAGTGAATTAATATCCCGAATGCTTCCTTGCACTTGGTTGTATTGTGTTTACAACAGAGAGGGTTAGCCATTAGAGATAATTATTGTTAAGATATTATTAGTTTGTTTACCTTGTTCTTTTGTTTTTTTCCAATGACTTCATTATATTTGAAAATGTTACCGTGAGGTACGTTACGCACAAAAATATGCACGTTTTCGCCATAATAATACTAATTTTGTAGGACTTTATTAAATTGCGTTGCAAAAATTCACATTCACAATAAAAGGCAATATATCCTGGTAGAATTAAGAAGATAGTCATTTCAAATTAGCATATTCTTTCTGTATTCCATTTTCTATAGTTTACCTTCTAAAATTTAACTAATTTAAGACTAGGTCCCCATATCTGAATTTTGTATATACAAAGGATTCCTGAAAATATGTTTTCATGATGAAACGTTGTCAAAGATACAATAAAAAGGTAAGGTAGAGTTAAAAGATGATTAAATTTTTTTCTATATGTGCCCGACCTCTGCCAATTTTCAGTATGTATTTATTGTTTTGAAAAATAAAAACCGAATATTTTCAAAATCAATGTTTGGAAGAATATTAAATTTCGGGAGGCGCATTAATGATACTAACCAGATTTACTATGGAATTGAAAGATTAAACATTTAGCATCACATTTTTGAGAGAACATCTAGGCATTTCATTCATCTTTCGCGCTATTTGACTCATTTTAAAAATAAACAAATAATATCAAGTAAATGAAAACAACTTGTTACATATAACTCTGAGTAATACTGTCAGGAAGCGGGTATGGCCTCAGAGCTGTATTTCTTTAGTTTTACGAAGATGTTCTACCTCCTTATGTTACCACTGTCAAAGGTATATTTTTATACAAATTTAAACATATGATCGCATGATTTGACCTTCTTAATTCTACTACGATTTTTATTTTCACATTCAATATTCTAATTGAAGCAACCAATAGACACACTATCAAAATTGAATATTTACCACTTTTATTTTTTCATACACAATTACCCCATTAACGTCGAAAATATGAATTTTTGTTACTAATTAATTTAATATAACTTGTACATATTCAAAAGGTGTCTTCATTTCATGGTTCGTAGCACGACATGATAGAAGAATATAGGTAGATGCATCAACGCTTGCGAACATTGATGTATCAAAATTTTAAAATTGTTTTGTCAAAAATAAGTACATTTTTATATATTTTCTTATACGATGCAAATCGGAGGTTGTTACAATATGCTTTTCTCAACAATTTTTACAAATTTTAGTAATTTTTTATTCAACATTTTCATGTCCAAAATCGGTTTGACAGTTCATTGTCCCAGCAGCTGTGTCGAAGCGACTACCTGTATTCTTCTACCATGGTAGCACGAGGTAGATCATGTCATTTAAACAAGCCCATAAATACCAATAAATTCTATTTTTTATTTGTATGGCTTTTTATGTTAAATTGTTTTGTGTGTATTCATTTCAAATTTTTGAAAAAAGAAAGAAATTCTCTTGTAGGAAAATACCTATCACAACATATGTAAGATTCAGTTTTCGCGTTTTTTCTTTTTGTCAATTTCCTAATGTATATCACACTTAATGCCTATCTTTGTGTTTTTACGCAACTGAAACAAAAATCGCTACAATGACATTACAAATGCAATGACAATATATTTACGGACGACTGGCAACACTGGTCATTTTTCGTATCTCGAGTATTTTTGGTGAACGGGATAAATTCTACGGAAAAAAGAAGATAAATATAAAAAAAAATAAAAATATGGATTTAAAATAACACATAAAAGCAGAGAATAAATGATTGATTTATTAAAAATAACAGCAATTTGTTGAATTTGTAAGAAATAATAGCAAAAAGAAAATAGTGTAAAAGTACAACTAAAATGAGGGTCTGTGTGCGTGTGTGTGTAAAAGCAAAAGACAAAAAATTATCTTTTGTTTGTGTGTAAAACGTAGTGTAAAGAAGGTTAATGAAAAATAAAGAAAAAAACAAATCCAACAAACCAGTATTTAGAGGATTTGGAAATTAAGTAAATGAAAATGTATTTTAAATTAAGAAACTCATGCATAAGGCCCATCAGCATTTTGTGAGAAACAAGTGAATGAAGCAGTAAAATGGAAGCGAAAATAATTGTTGTTGCTGCTGTTGTAATTGTGTGTTAAACAAGCGAATACAAAAGAAAAATATAAAACGACAGGGTGTTGCCATATTTTGTGAACGCAAAACAAAAACAAAGTGGCGTTTTTTCTTCGCAACATATCCTCTACTTGCTGTTTGTTTTCATTGTTGTTGCCTTACATAAATGTTCTACAGCTGTGGGATTTTGTAGTTACTGAAAAGGTAATTTAGGTAAAAAACGAGCACAACAACAACCTGCAATGCAATTAAGAAGTTTCAATTGACTTTTTGTAATTTTTGTCATGGCCCGTGACGTTTTATTGTTGTTCTCGCAGTAATAGCGATGTGTGGCATCACTGTAAGGAGTTTTTTTTTATTTGTAAGTCAGAGAATATCAAGTTAAAAGAAGGAAAACTATTACCACAAGAAGACGACAACGACGTCGTCGTCGACGAGAAGGAGGAGGAGGACAGAAAGAAAACCTAAAATTGTAATTCGGCAATACACTACTAAATGTTCGTAAGATATATGTAAGAATTTAGAAGTGACCAATTTAATTCCATGATACACAGAGACGTCCATATATAGCGATTAGATCTTAGATCTTGAAGGGACATATTGGTTTGTTTGCCGTTGGTGTTTTTAACACGGAAATAGAAGAATGGAATGGAAATGGAAACACCTGATTGCAAGGGTGCCAAAGGCAAAAAATATAACCGTGGCTTAGAAATGATTTTAATTTTACAAATGATGATTGCTGATTTCTTGTGGTAGATTTAAAGATTTCTTTTTTGTTTACTTTTTTACAGGAACTTCCTTCTATATCAGCAGCAGCAGCAAATTATCGCTGTGTTCTGGCCGGAAAATTGATAATCATTTTGCAAAGTTTGTTTTGGTTGTACATGAAGTAATGAACTCGTTTAGTGTCCCTTAATTATGCGAAATATGAAAACGGACACTGGCTCCTCAGCATCAGCGTCGTCGACAACCAACAATAAAATAACTTTGCGAGAAAAACCCACAGCTAGAATATTGTTTATCAATTCATCAATAAACCATTCATATGCCGGACCGGATTCAGATTTGAATAATTATTTAACAAATATTAACGATATGGAAGCCTCAACCAGCCACATAACAGTCATCGATGATGAGGATGAGAAAGATCCACTGGCATTGGATACCAGCTCTACTGAAGATTCGCTTGGTAGTGCTCCATCAACATCAAAGCATTCCCATAGTCTAAGGTAAGGGTAAATAAAACATAAATTTTTGATATGTTTTAATAATTTATTTCACTTGTTTCTTTAGACGCCATGTACCACGAATTATTGTCAAACCCATACTACCTGATAAGAAAACCACCAGCAGCAATACAAGCCCCTCCGCAGCAACAGCAGCAGCAAATGTGGCTGTGAGTTCTACGGTTAGTGGTAATACTTCATCAACAGTTGTGAATAGCAGTCCCTCGGGTCGAACTAGCAGTAGTCGACGTATACAGCAACAGCAGCAAGCAAAAGCTGCGGCAGCTGCTGCGGCCGCCGCTGCAGCAGCTGCTGCTGCAGCTTTAACACAGAGTACCACCAGCCCTGCCACTGCAACAACTCAAGCTTCAACAATGCGCGAGGTTTTGGCATCCATACCCGGGTTCAGTATCAAACCTCGACGGCGATCATCGAAGAAAATGTCCACAGCGGCACAAATTGAACAGACCAAGGATGGTAAAATTGATTTGGAAACTCCCGACTCTATTTTGGCATCCACAAATTTGAGAGCTCTGCTCAATAAGCAAACATTTACCATGCTCCCACCTTTATATCAATACAATTTGATACAATTACTGCCTAGCGTAGATCGCGAGGCAATTGAAATGGAGCATAAATATCCGGCGAATACCGTGCCAACGGAAGGCATACGACTGGGTCCATCAAGTCTTAATAATGAATTTTTCGCTCGGGCCTGTTTGGAATGGCGGGAACGTCTTTCGGAAGGTGAATTTACGCCGGAAAATCAGATGAAATTGAAAACTGAAGCGGAGAGAGAGAAAAACAAGCTAGATCCCTGGAAATTGAAGCATTTCGAACCAATTTGGGGTGAGAAATCATTCCATCGGGCAACCGCAAGTAACTGTCTGAATAATAAAAGCAACACCGCCACCTCCTCCGCAACCTCCACCTCAACCACGACCACCTACAATACCAACACTAATCTGAAGAGTGATGCTGACAACAATAAATCCATAGAAATAATCGATAACGCAACTACATCAATATCATCCACATCAACCACCAGTGCCTCGAATTCATCAAAAACCGAAGCATTATCCTCAAATTCACCAACATGCTCGTTGTCCTCCACAATATCATCATGTTCAACAGATGTGGCAGTGACTGTGTCCGAGGTCGTCGTGCCCATTTCAATATCATCTTCTGCGGTAAAGGAAACCCCTTCATCACTTGCAAAGGCCAAGGATTGTTTAGATAGTAACATTAAGGAGGAGGAGCAGGAGCAGGAAAAATCCTATGTAAAGACTGAAAATAATCAAGAAAATGTAAGTAGAATAGTGGAAGAATCCGAGTGCAATCCGAGAAAAACCTTTTTAAAGGAGGGACATGGGAGAGCAGGGACAAGATACGCATTTGGAAGTGGAAATTTTTTGAAGGCAATTGACAATTTTTAAAGGGAATCGGTCAATTTAGATCAAAATTTTTCGAAATTATCATTACTTCTTCTGGCGGAATCATTGAAAAAATGTAACCCTAAAGTCTCAAAAAATAATAAATGTTACAAAAATCCCTCGCAGCCACCGATTTGCTCAAAAATAAATCTAGTTTGAGAATTAAACATTCCCGTTCTCTTCATCTAGACCCTCTTCCCCAGGAAATTCACGCAGCGGTTCCTTACTTGCAATAATTTTTTTCATTTTTTGCTCTCTAAGTATTAATTACTTTTTTATTGTTTATTTTAGTGTGGAAGACCCAAGGATAGAAATGCATCGGAAGGCAAATCTCCCCACTACACCTGTGAACAGCCAACGACATCGGCATTAGCCCTTAAAACTAGCCAAGAATCACAAAGACGTGGTACCAAACGATCATCGGCCAGTCCTCCAAACACGGGCTTTAGCAAAGACGACGCTAACAATACAACAATCACCAATGCCACTAATATCATGGACACCACAATAGCTGAAGAAGATGCAAGTGAAATTATATTGGATGACTGTAATGTTCCTATAGAAATCAAAAGTGATAGTGAGAATGAGATGCATGAGGAGGCAGAAGAGGAAGCTTCTGGTCCCAGCAGTAGTAAAAAATTGAAAATAGAAACCACTGCAAGGGAAATTATATGCCATGATTTAACTCAAGACGAGGTAATGGTGTGTGAGCCAACAACACAAAATTTGGTCGACGACCAGGATGAAACGGACGAAGAAGAAGAAGTAGATCAGGACGAAGAGGAGGACCATGCCATTACAAATGATAGACAAAATGTTAATGTTGCCAACACCAGCATTGCCAGCAATTTATCGACAACAACAACAATATCAACAACTGTGAACAGTACCTGTGATAATCAACAACAACAACACGAGCAACATGTTAATGAAAACGAAAATGAGCCCAACCACCAAACAACTCCACACCACACAAATTCTGACCATGGTCAATACTTTTCATTTTCGGCCAGCTCCCCAGATATCCAACAACAACAGCAGCACCACCAACACTCATCTCAGCACTCCACCACCACATTGGAGTTGTCATTAAACTTGGATAACTATGAAAACCCAGCCATGGCAAACAATGGCTACAACGAAGAAGATGAAGATATTATCGAACAGAAATTCAATGATGCCGAAAATTACGTATTAGAGTCGGCTGAAGTTAGTACTGACGACAGTGGTACTGGTAAGTCAATGAATTTTGATTTTCCACAAAATCTCCCATAAATCTGACATGCTATGGTTTCTTTTTTTCTTAATCCTTTTGTGAATATCTATTTCTCTGACCGGTTTTTTCTTTCTTTAATTTTCCAAAGATTCTAAATCTGAGAAACCTACTAACAACCTTACTGACACAGCAACGGTGGACGACACACCAGCTGCCGCTGAAAGTGTTGTAAACGAAGATGATTTTTTATTTACTAACTCCCTTGATCGTGGTAAGATTATATTTACCATATAGCAACAAAAAACTGAACAGAAGAATGTATTAAAATTATTTTCAATATGCACTCCTATTTTTTTGTTTCCTGCATCTACACTAAAACATTTTTGTTCTCATTAACATTATTATGCTTTTTTTTTTTGGAGTTGTTTAATTTTAAGTTTTTCTTAGGCTTAAGAACACATGAACGAATAACGCTTTAGTTATTGCTTTGGTATTATGTTGTTGGCATGGCATCTTATTTATTCTACTAATATTTAATTATATAAATATTATTATTCAAAAAATATGGATTGTTGATTATGTTTGTTAACAATTGCCAATTGCTATTCCCATATTCACTGGATGAATATTACGTAGATATGTCTTGAATTATTTTTTTTTTTAATTTGAAAATAAAATTTTTGTTTGCACTTTTTTATTTTATTTTATGTACACCCCGCCATCTTTTTAGTTGCATGAAAATAAACACACATGTATATAACTATCAAAATTTGAAATTCACAAGGATACAGTTGAAAATTGTTACAATGTGTATTGGTTATTAATGAAATCAAATTTTGTAGCAGCTGTATATATGGGGCGTTAATCGGTATCTGTCCTTACATCTTGACCTTGCCAAAAATCTTACCAAGAATCCACGGAAATGGATAGATCTGTCCAATAGCCTTTTTTTGTCTAAAATCTCCCTCATTTCCTTTTATAGTGGTGGATCTCTGTCTCTATATCGTGTAGGTCGTATCTTTCCTTACATCTTGATTTCAAAATATAGCTACTCTTTGAGACTATAGCCAAAAATCCAATAAAATGGGTTTTTTAGGTTTGGCGTGGAGGAAGCTTAAAAGTTACGAATTTAAACAACTGCAATAATTGGGGCAAAAGTTCCTTTGTTTTTCCTGCCAAACGACATTCTCCAGCTGTAATGGATGGTCGGTGGACTCCGAGATCGGAATTCATAATGTAATGGTTGATAATATCAGTGAATACCACTCAGACCTGTCCAATAGGGTTTTTTTTTTGTCTAAAATCTCCCTCATTTCCTTTTATATTGGTTGAAGATCCACCTACATCGTGTAGGTCCATCCTGACACGCTTGGGAGGAGAATAAATACCACTCAGAGATATTCCCGATAGGCGTTTTTTCTAGAAGCTCTCTCTATGCCACTCTTATATCATAAGGCTTTGGGTGACTTCCAAACAGGGAACAGCTTACGTCTCCTCATTAGATGGTCGCTTTGTGTCATGGAGTTCTCAATGGAGGAGGGCATCTGCATCTTTATGTTGGAGTCACATAGCTAACCACAAGGGTACCTAGCGCTTACTAAGAGATCAAGAAAATCTACTAATCCGTATCCCAAGCGCGTTCTCTTTGTTGATCTTGTTCCTCGATAGAAGCTGTCGAATCGTACCCCGGGATCTTGGTGTTGTGGTTGTGGTCGAAATAAAGTATCCCTTGCCCTGCTCATTCAGTTGCATTCTCATCTCTGAAGTCCGTTAATTTAGAGGCGGTTTGGATATGGATATAGCTCCCGATTTTATATTTAATACCTATCAATGTCACAATACCCACTCTATAGCAATGTTATCTGGAACCGCCGACCTATCGCTTTATAAGAGATCCACAATTGGAATTTATTTCTACTTTTCATTTTGTCGTTGATACCTGCTGTCGAATGTGACCCTAGGATCTTGGGGTTATGTTAGGTTAAATGACTCGCGGTTGCCTTTTGGTAACAGCTCCACTCGAAGACTTGCTGCCGCTCAATTGTGTTCATCCTAATGAAGGAAGTGGAAGAAAGAAAGAATAGTAGAAAAAAGTGAAGGTATTACTAATCTTGGGGTGGTTGTGGTCGAAATTAAGTATCTCTACCAATTCCTTCGAATTTCTAAAATAGACGTATATTTGTTACGGGTAGTGGTGGGGGCTTTCATATAGTCGATCCCCACCAATTTTGTCTAGGGATGGGTTGAGGTGAGTCCAGTCGTACCTCCAGGAAAACGTATACCCTAATTGTTAGTTATGAAAAATAATCACTGGTTGTTTTTCCTCGCCCCTAAAAGTCGCCAAATAGCAACAGAACAACACGTGCACGTTATATTTTTTTTCCACTCGTTGTCCTTCCTGTTTTCCCTAAGGAATGTTACATGGGTTTAGAGGATAATTAAGAATTCTGGTATTATAACAAAGCATAGAAAACTATACTAATAAATTAGTAGATAATACCAACCCATTAAAGCAGACCCTAGATTTACGTTTGCCCCTTTTTTGCTTTCGCCTTGCCATAACTTATATTTTTAAATACCAAATACATTTTAATTTTGTTCGACTGTATCTCCACATTTGTTTTGTTCGTCATTTCATCGCAGTAAGTCTTAAAACACTTTATCATCCCATTTTAGCCATTAAAACCTTTTTTTCTCTTTTACCTCTATATCTAACCAATTTTAAACAATTGTATCCTACCTTTAGTTATTATACCCGATGAAACCACAGACGAAAGTAATCTCATGACCTCGACGACAACATTATCATCGGCTGTTTCAACGACAACAACATCATCATCTTCATTATCGGCCGATTCTTTGCCATTGACCTCAACAACTACACTGGCATCCACGACAGCATCTTTTACAGCGCCTTCATCTTCGTCTTCGAACCCATTGAATAATATTAAAGCAGTGGCAACATCTGTTGTATCCTTGGCTCCAGCCAACATCCTCAAGGAGAATTCGACACAAACAAACCCAGCATCAACGCAATCCGTCTCTGTTGCCGCTGCTTCGGCTGAGGCCATACAACATCAACAGCCCACAGTAAGTGATGTTTTTCACCATCTGAATCATGATTGGAATTTTGGAGGCCTCAAGTTGGGCATAAATACTGCTGCTATGCCGTCATCCTCATCCTCAATACAAAACGCAGATGATCAGCAGCAGCAGCCACAATCCAGCAATTATTGCAATATCTTGCAACAGACATCGACGGCTGGGAATGAAGTTGTCATTCAGGAAGATAATCATAACATACAGATCGATGCAAATAATATAATGGAGGAGCATCATCACCACAATGAGGCCGTCGTAGAAGAGGAACATACAATAGAAGAGGTTCCCGATGATGACGATGATGTTGAGGATATGGAGGCCAGCAATGCCGTTCGGGACATAGTTGATGAATTACAGCAACAACATCAACAATTACTGCAGCTGCAACAGCTAAAACAATTGCAGACTGCCGAATTGGAAGATGCCTTTCATAATCAACAGCAGCAGCAGCAACAACTGGAGCAACACCACCAGCAACAGCAGCAGCAACAACAGGAACTTTCACAAATCAATGAATATGTTGGAGAGGTAAGTGCAGTTCATGGCGTATGCGTTTAAGTGCTTCGATTTATTTGTGTGTTGTTTGTGTTTTACAGCTAACTTCCTCTAATGAAATGATGGCCACCGATGTCCCCATGTCCATAACAGAAATGGAAGTGACTAGCACGGTGATAACCACCAACACCAATTCCAATGACAGCATGAATGACATTAGTATGTGCAGCAGCTCCAGCAGCACTGGCAGTCTGACAACGCCCAACATTGCACCGAACACCTTGGGGCAGTTACAACAGCAGCAGCAGCACCAATCTCTACAAAATCAGCAACAACATCATGCCGCACAACAGCAGCAAATTCCCAGTCCACAATCTCTTCACAACACTCCACCCCAAAGACAAATTTTGGTTGATTCAAATGGTCAAATTATTGGCAATTTTTTGGTGCAACCATCGCCACCAGCACAACAACATCATCATCATCATGCTGCTGCTGCCCACACCACAACCCAGCAAATACAACAACAGCAGATATTACAGCAGGCTGCTCAACGATTTTCATTTCAGCCCCAGACGAATGCAGCAGCGGCTGCCGTTTTAGCTGCCCAACCGGCAAATTCCGTAACATTTGCCGCCCGGCAACAACAAAGGCAACAATTGGCCCAGAAGATACTGCCGGTAATACATAACACAAATGGCCAGCATTTTCTGGCGGCGGCAGCTGCTGCTGCGGCCGCTGGAGTGGTTCAACAGCCCCACATTGATGCCTCAACACATCATCAACAAATTCAACAGTTTTCCTTACAACAAACACCAGCACAACAACAACATCAAGCCTCACCATTGCAACACAATATAACAGGTCAGGCCAGGCAGTATTTAAGTAACTCTTCTCCCACCCAACACCACCAACAACAACAGCAGCAGCACTCTAATAATTTGTTAACCTCCCAGCAAATTCAGCTGCAGCAGCAGTTGCAACAACTACAACAAAATCACCTAAATCCATTTCAAAATGTTAACAATCAATCATCGATATCATCACATGGCTCCCAAACAGGCGCAGCATCATCACCATCTTCATCTGCAACGCATCCCAACAACAGCAACAACACCACCACCACCACCTTAACTCCCAAATTCATTTCAAAGCAGCTAAGTATTATATCTATGGGCCCGCGTAATGCCACAATTCCTGCAAGTATTGCCACCGCCGGCTCCAACACAGTTGCCATTCCGTCCACTGCCTCCAATGCACTGTACAATAGCAACACCAACAACAATCTGAATACAACAAACATAAATGTCAATGTACTCAAGACATTTGCGCCATCTGGAGTGCCTACAACCATTGCTCAACAAAGGCCAGCCGCCAAGGCCTCGAACACTGGCAAGGGGAGGAAATCAACAACCAATAAACTGCCACCTGGGGCGGTAAATATTGAGCGCAGCTATCAGATATGTCAGGCGGTTATACAAAATAGCCCCAATAGGGAAAATTTAAAGGCTCAGTTGAGGCCACCATCAGCATTGTTGAGCCAGCAACAACAACAGCAGCAACAAACTTCGAATGCCAATACAACAACAGCCAAGACAACGACTGTGGTGGCAACGGCCACAGGAAATCTCAAGACCCCAGAAGACGTAATCATAAATACGTTAACGGCAAACAATACAACAGCGACAGCCTTGCCCAGCAATGTCATGGGTGTGGGAAGACCGGGGGTTTATAAGGTAGGTTTTATCAAAACTTATTTGGAAATTATACCCATTCAATTTTCAAAATTTTCTTCTTTTTTTAGGTCATTGGTCCACGCATGGGGTTTCCACGTAAAAAATATGTCCAACGAAAATCATCACCCACCCTAATACGTCACATTTTTGCCAATCAGGGCACAGCGGTGTTACAAAATGCCAATTTAACGGCCGTTGCCACACCTGTTAGTGGGGTTGCCCAAAAAGTGACAATAATGCAACAATCTGCTGGCGGTCAGCAACAACCACAGCTTGTCAGTGGCGGTCAACACATAACAACACACGACATTCATCACAACGGCAATGGACAGTATGTGCTTTACCATCGTGCCAATGTTGGTGCGGCCGACAATCAAGCTCCACGTGCTTCCAGTGCTCCACCAGTTCCTCAAAATCAGGTTAGACTAAAAGAAAACAGTTTTTTATATGTATAATACCTAAAATCCAAAACAAAATTTTGCAGAATCAACTTCATGGCATGAATGGTATAACTGGACGCGGGCGTCCTGCCTCAGTAGATGTAGATTTGTTGAATTCACTGCAAGATATTCATAACAATACAACAGTATGTACGACAACCACACCAAATGCCGCTGGCAATACACAAATTGTGCGGCGAAATATAGCCACAGGTGAGTTTTGAAAGCTTTTTGGGAAATATAAATTGTTATTCTAGGTAAGGAAGGGTTCCTGGGCAACAGTTCGGGAATGTATAATCGTCACAGATTTTCTTGAAAGAAATAATATTAATATTTTAAGTATTAATTGAGATGCAGGCAATGGGAATATTGATTTTGTGGGGCGTTGGGTCTTACTACTTAGTGTCCAAGGTGGCAGACCTTGGCTTTGCAACATGCGAATCACAGGCCTTGTAAATCACTTTATTTTGTAGTTTTTGGGTTATTATTAAGATTTGATAATATATAAATTTGCAAATATCGGTGTTGTTTTTCATATTTCAAGAATAGAAATGTCTTTGAGCACAAAAAATGCCGCCAAAAACTGTTTACCATTTACCGTCATAAAACAGAGTTGCCAATCCAAATGGAACGCTTTTATATAAAATGTGGTTGCATTTATTTATTTATATTTCGTTCTCAAAACATTTTTATATTTTCTTTTAATATAATTTAACATAATTTTTAAACATATAAACGTTTTCGTAACGCCAAAAAACAAAATTCTTTGTAAACGGCTTTTCAATTGCTCTCATCAATAGGTGTTGCCAAAACATAAAGAGGCCTCACATGATATGATATATAATAATTAGCTTTGAAATCATGATCAAACATAATACTTTTGATATATTATATTAATGGCTCAATTCCAAAAGTTATTATCTAACAAATTTTACTAAATAATCTATGGAAATACACATACACATGAAATTAGAAAAAAAAACAGTTGTTCTGCAAATATCGTTAAACGGTGTTGCCAACGCACTAGGGAGGCTTCACACTACTTAAAACATCAAACAATTGCCATCACCAAAAATTAAATTAGGAAAAAAACAGGGGAAAATTACTTTTCTAGTTTTTAATTTTTTTAAATTAAAAAAATAAAAAAAAACAAATACAAAGAATTCGTTCATTTTTGAAATAAATTGAACTAATTAAATGCTAAAAAACAGAATTTATTATTTTTTTTTTCGACATGCAGAGTCATACTCTAAATGATTAAATTAAAGAAATAATGTAAACATTTGTAAATAATATTATGTATTACTTTTAGGAAATCTATATATTGAAGGCATTGGTGATGCAACAACATCAGGCTTAATGGATGCCAGTGGTAATTACATTGTAACAACAACCACAGCCTCTGCTATGCCGGCGGGTGGTATAAACTGTGGTGGCATACGAAATTCAGCTGCCGTCGCCGCAACAACAACCACAACACAACAAATTCAACATTCACATCAGCATACTATTGACAGTGGCTGTAACAGTGGTAGTAGTAATAGCAACAGCAGTCCAAATACCAACAGTTCAGATGGACATAATTGTGCCTGTTCCTTAAATGCAATGGTCATTTGTCAGTCGTGTGGAGCATTTTGTCATGACGACTGTATAAGTGCTTCAAAGCTATGTGTATCTTGTGTGATTAGATGAATTGGCAAAGGTATACGGCCACTATTGTTGTCGTCGTCATCTATGCAAGCAATATGGCAGTTATTAAAATAACAACTACAATAACAGCAGCAAGAGCAGTATTCACCCATTTCGCATGCGCAAACGGCAAGTATGGTTATTTTTCTTTTACTGAGAAAAACAAAATAGTATATCAAACACTGTTCTACAATGTATTGTAATTGTTTTCAATCAAACAAATGTTTTTTGGTAACTGCTGTGCGTAAAATTTTGTTATTTTAAAACACTTTGGTACTTTTCTAAAATACCTGCTTAGTGCGATTTAGCTACCTATTTCGCTGGTAATTATTTTTCCAAATATAACATCTGCCTTTTTCGACTTCAGACAATGTTGCATTTACCTGTCAAGGGCAATAGGTCTGTCTTTTAACCCAAAATATAACACTTTTTACTAGAAATTGTCTGTTAGTAAAATAAAAAAATATAAGTAAAATCTCATCTCAAGCCAATTTCCATTACATCAATTGCAGTTATATGACTATTTTTTTGCATTTGTGGAATTTTCTTTAGACACAAGCTCAAGCTAATGTAAATGGAGATAGGTATTTTATTCAGGTGGTTGACAATGTTTTGTTGCCACCAAAAAGAGAAAACATTTACCGTTTTTTTTTTTCAACCAATAAAACTCTCACTAAGAAAAGAGAAAGAATTTTTACCGTTATTAACTTTGCACTAATGGAAAGTTTAGCAGACAATCGTATGTTATGAAGAATGATTATTATGACAACTTAATTTAGTTGGCAACTACGGCACACATGTACTTGCCAACCACTTCTGTAGAATTCTAATTGGAAATAGTGGAGCGTATTTTCAGTAGCAGGAGATGCAATTTTCTATTATATGTTCTGGATTTTTTTTAAGTTTTATGGAAAAGAGTTCTGCTTAAACATTTTAAGAAATTTAATCAATGTAATTTGTTTTGTTTAACTTATGGTCCACCCAGTGATGGGAGATCGTAATTTACAAAATATATTCATATAGTAGGAAATGATTGCCGCTTGTCTTTCTTGAAAAATGCTACTTTTCAGAATACTGTATAACAAAAATAATACAGCAAATCATGTTAAAGTCTAGAGCCAGAGAATTGAGAAACATAGAATACCATGGGAATTGGTATTTCTGTATATCTGAGCTGAATTTCGTTGAGGTTTCGAATTCCAGAAGAATCACTGGACGGACGGGTTTAAAGTGGTTGAAGAAAAGAAAACTAAAAAAATGTATTTAAGCATGAAATCTAAAAATCCCACTATCAATCGTCTGAAAAGTGATTTGTCCGAAATTTGCATGTCCGAGAAACGATTTAATTGTTTGAAGGACTCCGATATGTGGAAATAAAGGCATAAAAGTACACAATCTAAAGCGTATCATTAAAACATGGTTCTGAAAAAAAAACCTTTCAAAAATGTCCTAGAAAGTGATTTAAAAATTTAAATTAAAAAAAAAATTGGATTGGATAGATCCAATTTTTACAAAAAAAAAAAAAAATTGTATAACAGTGTTTTTTATACATTTATAAGTGTACAATATGGTTGCAAATCTAAATTACCATACTTCTTTATTGTGTTTGAAAACTAAAAACAATTTCAAAATTGCTTTTTTCACAATGTTATAAAACAGATGCATAATCGAAGATGATAGCATTGTTCAATTTCCAAGCAATATGACATACTAGACATTTGAATTACCCTTTTCAAATGCTTTTGAAAGTTTGGTTTTGATTTTTTTTGGGATTACTTGTTGCCATTATAAAAATAAAAACCAAAATTAAATAAAAAACTGAAAAGGAAACCTTAAATTATAACAAACAAAATGCAATGAACAACAACAGCAAGACACACATATGTATTATTACATACTCCATAACCCCCCTAGAACATACATATATGCAAATGCAATTTCACAAAATACCTACAGATATAAATAAAAACATTTTCCAATACATCCTTCTCCCCTTCTCCTCCACCTCATTGATAATTTGTATAAGTATTTTTCTACTCATTTGTACCTATGCTTTAAAACAAAAACAAAAAATCACAAACACCTAAACATAAAAATTGAAAATATAAAAATTGAAATTTAACAAAAATAAAACTATTAAGTAGTTGTCTCAAAGATTGCAAAACACGAAAAAAAGAAACAAAATTAAATAACTTGTTGGTAAATAATAATAAAAAAAAAACAAACAGTAAAACAAATTTAATTATAGACATGTTAATGGTAAAATATATATATATGTGTATGTATTATATATTTTTTGTTTTTTTCTATACTTTTAACCATAAATATTATACATAAAAATATAGGATGTTTTGTTATTATTATTTTTTTCAATTTAATATTTTTTTTAGTTTTTAGGAATTTTTTTTTAATAATATTCACACATATTGCTGGTAGCACATACATACATTTAAATGAATTTGAAATGCCCCAAAAATAAACATTATTTCCAATACCAGATGGATATATAAAATATTTTTTTTTTTTTTTCAACAAAAAATAGCATTTTACAAAAAATATTGCAAATCATGTATAAATTCCTCAAAAACCAAGTACATTTTTCTCTATAGTTTGTCATTTTTTTCATATATTTTCTCAGTCTGCAACATTTTCTTCTTCAAACTAACCTCAATTTTATTTTGTGCGCGATTTTAGAAAACTTACGCAAAACTTTGACATTTGGAAATATAAATTATTATTAATTATTTATGAAGAAGGAGGTGGATTACCTCTAAAAATTGATTTTAACATTTCTAAAAAACCGCCAATTGAAGACCTGGGGATAACCACATCAGGATGTAAGAAAAGTACAATTGGTAGACTCGAAGACGCTTGTATCTTGAAATAGTGCACCCTCAAAAGTTTCGGAATAATCGGCCCAATTACGGTTAACGTTACCATAGTCGTCGTCGACTTTATGTGCAAGTCGCCTCGCTGTCGCTTCGATTCAAAAATGGTATTACCGTAACACATAGAAGCGACATCGACATTTTAGAAAAAGAAGTTGGCAACACCCTCTTGTTGTTGACAAGAAAGATAAAAGAAATTGTTTGTATTTTGAATATTAATTTCTTCTCTTTTGGAAAATGGCTTAACTCTAGTTTAGTAAAAACTCCTCAATTTTTTTGAATTTATTTCCAGTGGTAGGAATTTTTTTCGGGAAACTATTTTTTTTTTTGATGTGGGTCGACCCGAAAGTTCAATGTATGTAACGCTTATGAAAATACTTACCAAACAAGTGGTCACTTGATGGTACACAAAATTAGTGGATCCGGCGACAGATATTTTCTAAAAACGACTTCACGTCAATTGTATCGACAATGATAATAGCAATCATCGCTATCGACAAAAAACGACAACCCTAATACGGTTATTGTCGCCTCGACTTCATTTTGCGTCGACGACGACGACAAGCGTAATAGGGCCGAATCTTCCGATGATATCTTTTTCAGCCTAACCTCAATGTTTCCCAGCTGTGTAGTTTCAGAGAACATAGGCAAAATTCTGGCGTTTCCCATTACACCAGCACGAAAAGTACTCTTTTTTACGAAAATTTCTAATTTGTCAATCTAAATAACACATTTTATGAAAACTTGTTCGGTGTAAACAAGGCTTTATAACCCAAAAGGCAGACAGCTTAAATTCGATTATTACCCGAATAGTGAATTTTCTTTAAAAAATCGTGCGTTGCAGGACTTGTCAAAGCTTATTCATTCAATATATTTCTTTTTCTGTAAACATTTAACACTTTTTTGCAAAAAAAAAAAAAAAAAAAAAAAAAAACACTTTTCATCAACAACAATTGAAAAAAAAATATTTTTTTTCAAAAATAATTTGGGACTAAATGAAAAATAATGTGAAATTATACAAAAACAAATGTAATAAAAATAGCAGCTCGAATTTTATTTCATTGTTCAAATATTTTTTAAATACTAATTTAATTTATAGTAATTATTAAACATACAAATATAACTGTCTATTGTATATAAAATTAAATTTTCCATTCACACACCACAAATCACCCGACAACACATACAAATGAAAATAACTAAAAACATTAAAAAACATGTAATTATAAGATTAATTAAAAAAAACAAAGCTTCAATGAATCGTTAAAAAAAAACATAAATACACGTTTTTTCTTCTTAAAACACAAACACACGTAAACTTTTTTTAATATTATCGATTAATTTAGCTGTTAAGTTCTTAAATAAAAAAAAAAAAACAAAAAAGTGTTGTATTATGAAAACAATATAAAAATAAAATATAAATTATAAAAAAAATGCTATGATACACATTAAATATAGAGGATACACATTACAGAAAGAAAATACAAAAAAAAAAAAAAAAAAAAAAAATGATACACTACAAAACAAAATTCACTACGTACATATGTTTAGAAATACATAGTTATATTGACTAAAAAAAAGATATTATAAAAATGAAATAAATTAAAAAAATGAAACATGTTGTTTTTCTCACTGGAAAGTATATTTTTATTATTATATAATTATGTTTTTTTTATTTACACACAACGCAATTTTAGTAAAATATTTTCAATAATTGTATCAACCTCAGCCATGGCCCCGTTGCCTGTATCACCACACATCAGAGTTTTGGAAACGGTTGGAACTTCATGATAACCCCAGGATTTTAATTTGTTTATATGTTCACTGGTTACGGGATGATCAAACATGCGCGTATTCATGGCTGGACAAAAGAGTAGAGGTTTCTTGAAATCCCAAGCACGCACCACGCACAGTAACAAGTTATCACATAGACCCTAAAATAATAGATAAAAAATCATTAGGGCATTGCTAACCAAATTCGTATGTCTTAAAGAGCTTTACAAAACATCAAGAACAAGTAAAGAAGGTGTTAAGATTCTTTCACAAATTTTAAAATTTGTGGTCAATGCAAAAATACTTAATGTTTTAGTCAAATAGTCTTCGTTGCGAGCACCCAATACTAAAGTGTAGCCCAACTAGTTTTAAAATGTGACTTAAGACCAAATTAAGAAGGTAAAGTCATTTCAAATAAGCATTTCCATCCATTTTCTTGTAAAATTTCACTGCATAGAAAGTAGGTTCCCATCTCTGGTTTGTGTATGTACAATGGATTTATAAACAAACTTTTTGACAATGAGATGTTGTCAAATGAATAATTTTGAAAAAAAAAAAAAATGGAAACATATGATTGCATGACTTTACCTTCTTAATTCTACCATGCTTAGGACTTTGAGATACCAATAATTTGTGGGCGAGATAAAAAACTACCACAAAGTCAAACGCCACAATGATTACATTTTTTTTTTAATTTTTATGAATAAAAGCAAAAAATATGTCGGAAATAGCATCAAATTTTTGAATAAGTTTAAGGGCTAAGTACATAAGAAGCTTGAAGTCACGGCTAGGCATATTTTGTGACATTTCACAAAGGGATTACAGAGCCGCACTAAAATCCAGCCGTCGTTTTCCATTATAATTTGACATTAATATGCCTAGCCATGACTTCAAGCTTCTTATGTACTTAGCCCTTTAGATTTGTTCGAATTGGTCATTTGGCCCATTCCCGGCGAAGCGCTTGCTTGAGCTGTCACTGGAATAATTTTAACAGCTGTCAGTCGAGTTGTTTAGATCTATATTGAGTATTTTTAGCAAGGATATAGATTTAGTTAAGTACCGGTACTGAGACTTATGTCAATTAAAAATTTTCCGGAGGACGATTTTTTTGCCAATAAAAGCCCTAGCAATTAACGTTCAATTTGTTGTTCAAAGGTATCACTTTTTGATTAATTTGATTTTTAAAATTAATTATCGCAATTCTCCAACAATGGAGCCTAATAATGATGTAACCAAACACTGGATGAGATAACATTTTTATTAAACAAATCAAAATATTCTTGTTTTCGTACTTACAACTGCAATTTTTGCCAATGAGTTTGCACTTAACGGTGCTATTACCAGCATATCTGCCCATTTTCCCAAATCGATGTGTAAAACAGGATCACCTCGTTTTGTCCACGCATTCCATTCACTTTGGTCATCTAATATTTCTATGTTTTTGGGTAACTCGGAGGCTTTGACAAAATGTTTGGCGTTTTCAGTTAAAATTACTTTAATCTAAAAGAAAGAGGGAAAAGAATTAGCATTTCGCATTAATTCAGGAATTATAATAATTAAAAGAATACCAACATTAAAGCTAAATTCCGTATCTAAATTTTGTAGTTTTTCAATTAGCAGTGGAAACTTGATGGTGGCCACACTTGCTGTACAGGCTAGAAGTAGATTTTTTGTTGTTTTCATTTTGTCCTATTTGGCGTTGACGTTGTTGTTGTGGTTTCCTTTTGCCTTTCCGATTTATCCTCAAATCCTAGCTTTGACCATTCAGCCTTTTCCATAAGTTCATTCTTCATGCGACAGTTTAAATATTCTCGTGCCTCGTTGCGACACTGGGCACTTTGGTCGTCACTTTGATGTAAACACCGCATATACAGTAAATAGTATTTCTTGCAAAGACCTTCGTGATCAAGAGGGAAGCTACCTTTTTCCGGGGCAGTGGGTATAAACTTGGATTGGTTGAAGGTATTTGAGGTCATTTCAAAAGTTGTGTTGTTCCGGAACGACTAGTTCAATGGAACGGCGGCTCAGCGAAAGGCACGAAGGGAACTATATTTAGCTTTTTTCGTTCATCTAGCTCCCTTAGCTCACATAGTTACCTTAGTTCATTTTGTTCATTCATCTTATGTCATTCATCTTATGTTTTTTGTTTGTTTTTACTATTAGAGTTGCTTTACACGTGGGGGTTTCTCTAAATGGGCGTTCTTGTCTTTTTTTGTGCAATTTTTAGTAATGTTGCAAAATATGGTAGGGAATTATTTTTTTGGTTCTTTAAAATTTCGTTATTTTTAAATGTAATATATGGATCTATAGTAAAGGAAGTGTAATGTTATTAAAAAAATCAAAAATACCAAGTTAGGAAAATGTATTCTTTGTTATCATTAAAATGGTAGAAAACGTAAACAATTATTTTTATATAGATTGAAAAGACCTATAAAGACACAGAAGGGTGGTACGCATTACAAACTCTAAAAAATCATATTAAAAATTATTTTCTTTATCATATGCATTTCTCAATAATGCTTAAAAAATTCAATAATTTATCATTTGAAATTTTCAATTCCAAAATTGGTTTGACAGTTCAGCGGTCCCAGCAGCTGTGTCGATGCGACTACCTGTATTCTACTATCATGAAAAGAATTCTATTGAAACTGGATGATATGCGGTTCGAATTTGGATACAGCTCCCACACATATCTTCGCTTTTGCATTTATTTACACGTAAATAATTTTATAATTTTTTATTACAAGTTAATTTGTTTTCAGTGATTTCCGATATTCGCAATTACCTTTCCTGCCATTGTTATTTATATACATGGTAGAAGAATGTGGGACAATAAACTGTCAAACCAATTTTGTAATTAAAAATGTTGAATGAAAAATTACTTAACTTTGTACAAATTCTTAAAAAATGCTTATCATAACAACCTCCGATTGACGTCGTATAAGAAAACTTATAAAAATCTATTTATTTTTGAAAAAATTAAATTTTTTTGACATATCAATGTTCCCAAGCTTTTATGCTTCTACCTGTATTCTTCTACCATGTTTATATACAAAAGCAAGGTGTATTTACAAGTTGACACGGTAAGGCCATCTGTCGTCTTTTTTTTTGCGGAAAAACACAACTTCTTGAGTAAAAACATATAAAAATAGCCCTGTTTCTGAACTGCAACTTTTTACTGCGATAACCGTTTTCCCATTGAAGAAAATTGCAAACATTTGACAGCAAGAGTGAACTAAAGGTGATGGTACATAAGCAGCTTGGCATCATGGCTATGCATAATAATGTCAAATTATAAGGGGAAACGACGGCAGCATTTGAGTGCGGCTCTATCATCCCATTATGATATGTCACAAAATTTGCCATCTGAAGGCTTCAAGCCGCTAATGCACCCACACCTTAATTCCTGTGAGACCTTATTAAATAGGCTATATCCAAGAGAAATTGCAAGTACGAGTAATTTTTTCACTTTCCATCAGATTTTCCTCTCTCTATCTCTCTCTCCTTCAAGGACCTGCCGCAATTAAACTCGTCTCACCTGTCTCACCCGATTAGACATTTAAGACTTATAGCTCCCATATATTAGTACAATACGTTTTCAAATTTAAACAATCCTAACGCCGTACTACACATACAAATTTGTTACCCAGCTAATTGTTGTGGGTTATAGTCGTTCCCGTTCGACATTTTCCCTTCCTTTCAGGTTTGTCTCTCATCCGACTAGACATTTAAGCCTTTCAAATTTAAACAGCCATAACGACGTAATATTGAGGGCGAGAAAAAAAACTGCAACAAAGTCAAATGCCATAATTTTTACATTGCTTTTTTTAATTTTATTGAATGAAGACAAGAAATATCGGAAATAGCATCAACTTTTAGAATAAATTTAAATTTGTTCGAATTGTTCATCTTTGGCACGAATTATGGCCTTCAAATGGCCGATGAAACCGTCACACGCTGCCAGAATGTTGCTCTGCGATATATTGGCCCATTCCCGGCGAAGCGCCGACAATCTGGTATTTTTTAATGGCAACCTTGCTTTCCAAAATACTCCAGACACAATAGTTCAACGGATTGCTGGACAACGAATGTTTTCTAGTCGGAGAAAACCAAATTCGGCAGTTCACCACTTTCTGCAAAGCAAAGCAACTCTTCAAATATAGAGTGATCACACTACTGCGCTTGAATCCATCACGAATAACTTTTTTTCTGGAAAATTCTCATGTACGCTTGTAAACAATATAATGAGCTGTTACTGGAATAATTTTGACAGCTGTCGGACGAGTAGCTTAGAAATGACAGCAGTCTGAAGTTGGTTGCAGTTTTTTCATCTCACCCTGTATTCATTCAATCCGTTTTGAAATTTGAACAGCCCTAACGCCGTAAGGCACATTCAAAAGCATTCATATTTTCATTTACTCAACACAAGTGTTGTGGGGTACCTTAAAGTCGTTCCCGGTCGATTTTTTCTTTCCTTAAAGGTTTGTCGTCTCTGTTGTAATCCAAAAAGTTTCTATAATTCTATTTTTTCACAAAAAATGCAAACCATTCGAAGTACAACTTTAATAAAAAATATAAAAACAAACAAACTATTTATTTATTTAAAAATGTATGTTTATATTTATTGATGTTAATATATGTGTTTTAATGCGAAATATTACAATAAAACAAAAAAATAGAAAAGTAATGACAAAAGGGAACTTATTTTTTAAATAATCAATTTTATTTATTAAAAATATTTTTTTTGTTTTTTTTTTTTCATTTGGGTTTATATTTTTGTAATTGTTTTTATTTCTGTTTATTGTTGTAAATATATAAATACGAAAAATGTATTATTTAGTATTGCTCCTCCGCATGAATAGCTAAGATGGGGAAAGCGAGCGTGTTGTGTTTTCGTACATATTTCATTTGATATTTCGAAAGGCTTTGGGGGCCTGGGCCCGCCCCTAAACACACACAGAACAATTGAAAATGTTTTCGTTTTGTTTTTATGAAATAAATTACATTAAGGGCTAAATAGGACGACTAAAAATCCGTTGGGTATATCAATAAAAATAAATGTAAAATGTAAAATTAGAACTTAAAAAATGATGATCAGATGATATTCAGATTCAGATCACCTGCTATTGTATTCCATCAACTTGCGGTTTTTGAAAGAATAGGTCCACTAAATACTAATCAACGAATTGAAATAAAACTAGAAATTAAATTATTTTTTTGCAGTGTTAACAACAGGTAATAATAAATATATACAATTGGAATTCTACATGGTGTCATGGTGTAAATGACAAGTGATAACATTGGATTTATGGCCACCATCCAATGAGTGAGTTGGGGGATCATAGATGCCAGGGCAGCATCTTTACATTATGGAACACAGTCCAGATGTTTCGTTGCCACACACCACCTTCTCCTTTTTCCGCAGGGATGCTTTTTGCAGAGCCGGTTTCAATTCATAGGTGATGGTATCTTCAACGGGAGGCGGTGTTGGTGTTTTGGCAGGTGGTGGTGGTTGTTTGGCGGCGGGCACAACAACATTGGCCTGGGGTATGGTTCGACTTACAGTTGCCGTGGGACCATTATTGCCATAAATACTGCCTATTACAGATATGGTACTTACACTGTTCTCACTGGCAATGGAGGGTATTGGATTGGAGTGCTCCTCAAACAACATGGACCCACCACCAACCACAGAGGATTGTGTGCTACAAATTGTTGTTCCGCCACCGCACAAAACTGGTATGGTTGATATTGTTGGTATGTGATTGAATGTGGACGTTGCTGCAGCAGTGGAGGATGATGTCGAAGTACTACTACCACCACCTAAATTACCCTTTGATTGTTCACTACCCAAATAATTTTTAGAATTATGATTTGAGGCTGAGCTATTACTACTACCACCGGTGCTATTGGGATTTACACTGTTCTTGGTAATATTTATTTTGATCTTATTAACTAAACTAGCCAAGGGCATTGTAGGAGCTAAGCCAACGGCAGAGAGGTTATGTTCATCGCCAGTTTCCATATTGCCATCCATGGAAATATTTAAATCTGTGGCCGGTGGATTGTCCGTTGTGGTTTCCGTGTCTTCATTCACAACCGAAGGCGTTGAGGCGGGCCGTTCCTGTTGGCCCGGAGACAGGGCTGATGTTGACGATTCAATGGTTTGTGTCTGGGTTTCTTCTAAGGGTTTGAAAATATAAAAAAACATAAGTTTAAGTTATTTACAAAAAACCCCAAACACATGATGTAGATCTACTCACCACTACTGTGTATGGAAATCTCCTCGGGGGCAATCAACACGGTGCCCACATCCTCAAACCCATCATCTTCGTCTTCCTCATCCGCATTGGGTTCTTGTTTGATTTTGATATTCATAAAGCCCACACCTGCCTCAGGTTCGGGTAACTCTTTCTCCACGTACGTATCCAAATCAGTAAAGGGTATATGGGGCTCTTGTATTTCAACATCAGATTCTGTTGTTTCATTGAGTTCGCCATCGTCATCTTCGTGAATATTACCCATTTGTTCACGTGTCACATTTGCCGGCACATATTCATCGTCGTCATCATCAATCTCCGTAACGGATGGTTCTTCGTTGGGCAAAACAATGACATCGTCATCATCATCGTCGTGTTTCGATGTTGTGGGATTTTCTGCGAAAGAAACAAACAAATGTGATTTTAAAGAATAGAATGAAATGGATATTTTTAGCACGGAGTAGCTTCCAAGATCTATTCTACCCCTAAAAAGAATCCATTCACCCAAAAGATTATCTATTTGTAAATATATTTCTAAAAATACTTTCAACCATAGA